TGAGCATGCTTTTACAGCCAGAGCTGAGTTCATGAAACATGTCATGGGCTCTTGATTATAGAGGAAAAATGGCTAATTTTCTTTCACTGTCAGGGAAAAACAATTGTATAAGTTTTAAGGTCTTAAGAGCAGAAGGTCCTTTGCTGGTGGAATACAGTACCTTGTACGGGTTCATCCCTGATACTTTTTCCTACCATTAGTCTAGAAGCTTTGATCTCATCTTGTTTCATAAGCCTGTTCCAACAGGGCATCTCTGATACAAGCCAGATTTAACCAGGGTTATTAAAATGGGCATATGTATCAGCATGGTTTAAATTTACAGTATCTACATGCAAGATTTTATTAGCAGCTACTGTTGTACTCAGTTACTAGGCAATGTGAGATCTGCTTTGGGTCTGGAAGTAGTGTGTTTGTGTTAGTTGCCATACTGCAGCTCTCAGCAGGGATTATTATGTTGGGTAAAGTGCCATGTTAATGTAGTTTTTCTACTTTTGAATCTCTTTACAGTGTACTGTGAATTTATCCATTCAGATTGGTGCTAACTTTTGGATCTCTGTAGCGTGCTTTACTGTAAGGTATAAATGCACCCAGAGGCTTGTAGAAAGGCAGTGTAGAACTAGGTTTACAGGTTTTGCTTTTGATATCTCTGTTTTAATTAGTACTGCAGTATAAAGGAAAGGTATTTTTTTCCTCTTTGTAAATGCATATACAAATAGTAATAAAAACCATCAAACCCTTTTTGCTAATAAACCCCAAAGGCTACCCACTGGGTTTTTTCCCCCCACCATTACTGTTTAAAATTTTGAATAAATATAGTTAAAATTATATAATCCATATGTATTTTTAAAGTGAAATTGATTAATTTTTAGTAGTAAGCAACAGTTTGTTTTAGAAAACCTTATGTGTTGTTGTAAATCATGATGTGTTATCTTTATTACTAACATCTATACTTTTACTAATAGGATATAGTCTGTTATTTTGTACTGCAGTGTGTATTGCTTTAGAGATTCATCTCTAAATGCATTTCTCTTGCTTAGCTTTGCTGGGAATGGAACAAGGGAATCCTTTAATGACCAACACCATGTTATTTCCTTAGGGTAATTCCTCTTAATTACCATTCCATTACAGTCCCGAGAGCGCAGGTTATGCACAAAGACTTTGAAACATGGATTATAGTTCTGTCTTGGAACACATCATGGTGCAATTCTTTTTCCTTAGGCTGTAACATTGTATTACTACTTCATCAAAGGTTTAATTAAACCTGTTAGTTTGCAGAAATTGTCTACATGCTTCAAAAGTTATCATCCTTAACGTATTAAAAGACGTTATTTGTAATATTTTTCAAAGGTATGAGCTCTAATTTAGTGTTAACTATTGTTGAGACAAAAATTAAAGCATAAAATGGAAAGAAGCAGTGTTTATAGTAAATACTGTTTTATTCAGCTGGGTGATGCAGATAAAAATGTTTTATTTTGCCTTCTCTGAAAATTATTTTCAAAAAAAAAATCCCTGTTGAGCAATAGGAAAATACATGTATTGTGTGAAAAGGATTTTGTTAAAATCTGAGGAACTAGTTTTAAGACTTCATTTTTTCATGAGGCAAATACAATTTACAGATGCTTAACTACTTCTGATACTACATTCGTGATTTTTGGACATTATGGATAACCCCTGGATATAGAGTTTTTAATTTGAATCTTCACAAGTATATTAATTCAGTAATTTGAGACAGTTCTTTCCAGACCCTGGGCAGAAACATCTTTTTATAGCCTCCCAGAAAATGTAACTTGCTAGACAAACTCAAAGCTGTAGTTTGTTAAAATAGACAGAATTAATTTTTGTGCAAATTTGATCTGAAATATATTATGTGGACATAAGAACTTTATAAAGAGAAGAAAAATTCATCTGCCATGTGCTTAAGACCTCTAAAATATTTCTGAACTGTCATAAGGAAAAAGTCAACATCATCTTTCTGAATTCTGCAGCCATTAGTAGTCATAATAAGTCAGTAATGATTTGCACATAGGAGAATGAAGAACAGCTGGTCACCTCAACAGACCGTTCTCTACCACACCCTGCATCTACCCAAAAAAACGTCTAAATGAAGAAAGGGTCATCTTTCACTTAAGTAAATTGTTATCTAGGAATAATACTAGAAGTAATGAAGCGCAATTCCTACTGAACTGTGTCTTGGAGGTGATTGACTTTGGTTTGGGGAGGGTAGGATCTCTAATGCTTTTGCAACAATTAAAGCAGGAGAAATCTACTTTGTGAATTGTCTGGTCTCTCATAAAAGGCTGAGCTCAACTTTGCATTGCTGAAGGCAGTAGTGGGCCCACAAATACTGTGTTAAAAAAAGTGAGGGAAGAAATGACTGAAAACTAATTTATGTACAGATTAATATAAACTTCCAAGTAATGCAAAAATAACATTAAGAGAATATAAAGGTTGGAAAGTCAAGTTCAAAAAAAGTGAATGCTAGAATTGATGTTTACATGGTCATAATTAAGTGCTTCTAAAAGTTAGTTAAATTTATCTTGTTAGAACACTGGATTTCTCTTTCAGAGACAGATTTATGTTTTAAAACAATCGTGCATGGAACAGAAGTGGTTGTCTTTTGATTTCTTAAATAGGTTAAGTTTATTAACATTTGGACTTCATGGAATTTTAACACTTCTGAATGAAATTTGTATCATTACTAGAGGAGACGGGAAAGGCATGCCATTTCTGTTAATGAAATACTTTATGTACTAAAATAAAGTGCCAAATTTGTTCTACACTGTGTAATGTAAAGGCACATTTTTCAACTTCTTCCTACTTAAAAACTTTCATAAGAGGAAGAATAGACAATTCTCCGGTTTATTTTCTAGTATAATTTAATTTCAGTGATTATATGCTTGTGATTTATGCATTGTTTGTTTTATTGATAGATTTTTATTACTGCATGAAACAGAAGGGTAGCAGTGTGCTACTAGTAATCTAGAAGTCAATTTAAATGAAGTCAGTGAATGTTTTAGTATTTAAGCATTGATTTTTGGAATGTAAAGTTTAACTTTGGAGAGTAAGAAAATAAAGTACGAATAATTCATCTACAAGTGTATTCATAGTACTAGTTCTTATCTTTGAATAGATGTGTTTCTCCAATTTTTCTTTTTAAACATATTTGAAATAATATTTAAATGGAGAGAAATTGGATGGTTTTGCTACTTTTCTCTTTTGTTTCATTCTTTCAATAGTGGTATGTGCTTTTTTTGTTTGTTTTGTTCTTTTTTTTCAGGTTAATTTTATTTCCTATAATCCTGCATGAGTGCCAGCATATTCTGGTGCACTGCTTAGTGGCAGTTTTGTTTTGTCCTCTTCTCTCATGTCCCACATCCGTATTTTATGTGTGCAGTAACTGAACTGCCATTGTTTGAATTCATGTAAGCTGCTGGATGTCAAATGTGTTGTCTGGGCAGTTGCTGAGCCTGGTTTGGTCCCCAACCTCAGACATCTCATCTCCTTCACTTCTTTGAGATACAGATCACATATGGCTGCTTTTGACCTGCGAGCCAGAATCCAAGGACTTCTGATACTTCCAGTAATTTCTGAAGTTCTATCTAGTATGTGGACAGCCTCTCCTCTTAGTTTAATCATTTGAGAAACAGCACAACAGGAAAATAAGTGAAACAAGCTCAAAGAAGGAATTTCAACCTACAATGGCAATGTTGTTGGCTCCCAAAATTTCATTTTTTTCTGATAGTATGAACTTGTTCTGTTGCTTAGTTAGTGGTTTGACAGAACTTCAAACTGGCAGACTCCATCCTGCCCCTTTCTGCCATTCAGGAACCAAGAACGCATGAGTGCTGTTCTCCCTTTACCTTCTCCATTAATGCTGTCATAAACCTCTGTTAGAGTCCCCCTTAGTTTCATAAGTTTAGGGTAAAGAATCGTAGTCTACTTAGTTACTCGTGTAGCAGAAATCATTATAACTTTTTGACTTCCATTATTGTTCCTTGAATCCTTCTTTATTCTTTCTTTTTTATAAGGTGGGCGTACCAGAGTTGTATACTAGATTTATCAGTGGCATAATTGCAGCTTCTTTTGTTTTCTATTTGCTAATAATTCTTAACATTCAGTTTTCTGGGTTTCTTTGACTTGTCAGCATTGAGTATTTTCCTAGAACTGTAGGAAAGACCTTGGTTCTGAATAGTAATAGTAATTTTATAATCTGTGATTTTTTTACATATAAAGTTAGGACTTCTTTCCTTCATTATTTTGCATTTATTAATATTTAATATGTCGTATTTTGCTGAGCCACTCAGTAGCATGGACAACTTCTGTAGCTCTTCATAGCCTGCCCTATTCTTCATTTTCTGGAATACTTACTGTCACTTGAAGGCTGCATCACTCCATGAGTTCCCTTCTTTTCTGTGTAATTTATGAATTTATTAAATAGTACAGCTCCTCTGGTGTCCTTCTTCCTTACCAGATGCTGGCTGTTACCTCCTTTTATTTCTAGTCCTTTGGGCAGTGTTATATCCTTTTCTTGCCAGCTTTGGATTTCTTTTGGTGGTGGTTTTTTTTGTTTGATTGGGAGGTTTTTTTGAGGTGTTGATGATGGGCTTATTTTAAAATGCCTTTTGCAAGTCTGAGTGGATATTAAATTGATCTCCTGCATCCTCAATACTTGTTGAGTCCTTCAGAGAATGGCAGTGTATTGGGAGAGAGATGATGTCCTTTTGCAAAGGCAGTTTTGACTCCTCCAAATGTTGTAAATATTATTATGCCTTCTGTTTTGTAATTTCTACAAACTTGCATGTTATAGATGTTAATTTTTTAAAATACATAGACAGCTAGCAGTATTCCATCCAGCTTTTAATGATGTCATCAAGTTGGTTGATTGAAAGACGAATTTACTACTTTGGGTAACAGCTATTCCATAATAGATCCAATCCTAGATGGAGTATATTTTTAAAATAACATTGTTGCCACTAGCGTTTCTTCTCTTTAAATTGTAGCTGTCCCTTTTCCACCAACACATCGCTTGACATCTGAAGAAGTGTTTGACACAGATGGAAGACCAAGGGTTGACATTTTGAAGAACCACTTGATAAAAGAAGGTCGAGTGGATGAAGAAATTGCACTTAGAATCATCAATGAGGGTGCTGCAATATTACGGAGGGAAAAAACTATGATAGAAGTTGAAGCTCCAATTACAGGTAATATTTCTAGACAATTTCACTCATAATTAAATTTGAAAACAGCCACATTTTTTCAGTAGTAGAGTTTGTCTTTAAAATGGCTAAAATAAAACTTCTGTATAGTCTTACTGAATTATCCCTCACAACTGCATTTGCTTAACAGTTCTCAAATGGTCTGAAAAAATAGGCTGCACACTATTTTGCAAAATGAAGGCATTAAACCTATTGGAAAAAGTGTATTAAAATGACAATCGAAAGTAGTTAAACGCTGATGAATTAGGGATTTCTAATTCCTGCAATGTTGTAAGTGGGAATAAAGACATCTACCTGCAATAGAAAAATGAACTCATAATTATCCTGAAATCTAAATATGTGAAGAGAAGCTAATTACTGTGGTTTGAAGCAAATACTGTGAACTGGAATTCTGAGTGAAAAATACACCTTTATAGTTCCTCTGCAGGTGAGACTCATGATTGCATGTAAAACCATGTTCTTGTGAGGGTAGTAGTACTGGAAATTGTTGAAAGATTATTTTAGCATCTTTAATGTGCTAGGACCAGATCCACTGTGATACAAAAATGTCTCCTAGGGTTTGGGGGAGTATTTTCATGGTTTGACTAGTTCTATTTCTGTTTGACCTGGTTGCACCTAAAAGGTGCAATTGGTGTCTTTTAGTACTTTTATTTATAAACAATCCAGACTCATAGAAAATAGTTTATGTTGCATATCAGTTATTTATGATAATGAAAGTAAATTTGATGTTTGTGTTCAAATCAGATTTTCTTTCATTTGAATGTGTTTGCTTCTAAATAGACCTATATAAAATTAGTGTCTGAAGAGCTTCTTATAGGGCATCAGCTTGCTTTAATTTGTTAGTATTGAGTAAATGAAAACATTTAAACAGTATATCGTTATTATTGACATTTTTTGAAGAAATGAATGATTGAAATGATGAAAAACACTAAGTATCTGTCTGAACTCAAGAGTCTTTCGAAGCTCCAGATAAAGCTCAAAACTGCAGTGTTGTCCGTATGTTTAGAATTTTTATATTTCTGTCTATTCAGGTAGTTACCCAGAGCTACTGGTATATTGGCAGCTGAAAAAGAAGGAAAGTTCATGCAGTGTTTGAGTAGAAATTGTAAGAAAACTGACATAAAAGAGATCACATTCTACTTAGTCTCATGTTTTGTAGGTCATGATGACAAATGGTCTGCTCCAAGGGAATAACAACCTTTAAAGTGTGGTGTGCCATATCTAATACTTCTTTCCAAAATCAAAGCAACTTTTTTTCCCCAAAAAAATTTACTGATAAACTTTGAGAAGTCAGAAGATGCTATTCGTCGGTTGATCAGTGACATTTTGCATCACTGGAAGGCATAGTCTCTCAAATTCCTGTTAATTGTTATCAGCAATACTTCATGCAGAAGCGAGAAGGCAGCTCCTGACTTCCATTGAGCTGGGAACTCCTGTGGGAATGAGGAGTTAGAAACAGTTGTCTCTTCCATACATCTTTTTAATTTTATTTTTTTTTTTTAAGTTGTGAGGTGACCTGGCTTTGCTGTATGCTCTTCAAAGTCTTCCCATCTGCTGTCTTTGGCACTTCTGCCATAGGTTGCTGACCACTGGTCTTGTCCTGTCTTACATTCTAAAAACACAAGAAAAATCCACTGTTGAAACAGTGAACATGGTTATTTGAAGGAGAAAAGTAACTGAGCAAAGAGAAGATATGATAATATTAAAAGGTATGTTAGTCTGACTCAGAAACAAAAGCATACTCCCTGCTTTTTTCAATCCCACATGGACACAGCAATTTGTTGCAAAGCAGCAGGCATTTTCAAATATGCATGCCAAGGAGAATTTGCAAAGATACCTAAGGGGCTGGGGAGGACAGTAAAGAGCTGCTGACAACTTTCAAGACCTCAATGCTCAGTGCATTAACTATGTTTGACAAATATTCCACAATCTGCTAGACTCAAATAGGGCTATCATCAGTGTTGTCATAGGTAGTGAGGACAGCATCTTAATGAAAAGCAAAGGGGGAAGCTTCAAAAATTTCTGTTATTCCTGCCTTTCCTCTTAATTAGAAGTACTTTGTGGCTGTTTACTTAACTATAATTTAGTAACTTTTCTGTTAGATTTTTTTTTAATTAATTTGAACAAAATTTTTGCTTGCAGTGTGTGGTGATATTCATGGCCAGTTCTTTGATCTAATGAAGCTGTTTGAAGTGGGAGGATCACCTGCTAACACAAGATACCTCTTCCTCGGTGACTATGTAGACAGAGGTTATTTTAGTATAGAGGTAACTGAATATATTAATCTGTTTTGTCCTAAATTTTTCTATAAGCACACTTTCACGGAGGTTTTCAAATGAAATTTTAGGTCTGCTTTAACGTGCTAATGTGTTCTTCCTTGCTGTGCTTTCTCCTATGACAAAGGCCTGTTTACAGGAGGATATTGACCAGCCGTTTGGATTGTCCTGTTGAAATCACCAGATTTACTCATTTTTCCTCCTCTTTCTTTGGTTAGTTTTTTTAAAGTTGAATTCTATAGCATTATTATATGTAATCCTGCTCTCTGGTAATATGCAGGAAGGTGTGTTTGTATGTTTTTGGAGAACAGGTGAGTTGTGACTGCAAGGTCTTTTAATTTATTGTAGCTGTGTATCTGCATAAAGTAGATTCATTTTACTTACATAATCGATGTTTTTAATAATTATGAATATTTTTCTTTACTAAAATTCTGAGGGCAATTACAGATATTCCCTAAGGATGACCTGTGTTTCTGCCATTAATTTTTCAGGTATTTTGAATTCAATAAACTTTTTATTTTTCAGCATGTTTATGAAGTATACTACATTCCAGAGACATTCACTTATTCATATCAATCAGTTTCAGAGCTCTGATTTTTAAGTTAACTATTCTTCTAAAGCCAGCTTGGGAAGTGCCTCAGCTTGGGACCTCTTCATAGCTACCAAATCTAAGAGTGGCGTACCATTCGAAATAGTATTTTGCAAGTCACGGTGTATGATACTTCATTTCTGTATTAAAATTATGCTGTTCTAATAACATGTGTGGGTATATACTGTGAAGGTCATGCACAATGCCTTTTAGGGTTGTTAGGGATGGTAGGCAAACGGGATGCAGCAAGAGTGATTGCCTCAAACTCATTTATAAGGAAAAAATTCAACAGACTTTCCCTAGTTATTAATTCAGTCTTCTTGGCCTGTTCTTGATGATGACAAATAATGTAATTGTCCTTGAAGAGGACATTTACATAGCAACACTATATGTTAATGTATCAAAACACGATATGAAAGCTTTTCAACCATTACACTTACAAAAAACTTCTTAACAATAGATGTTCTTGAATATATTAATAAGAACACGCTCAATTTTTTTCCTCATATGATTTAAATTTAATTTTTAATAGAATATTTGACATGCTAAATATACTGTGGAATATGTAAAGGTCTGCTAAATATATTCTCGAAAACCACTCCAGGGTTCTTAAAAGGCTTGTATTTCTTCATTGAGATAATCTGCTTTATTCTACTCTGAGTGGCTGTTGGAATATCAGTGAAGTACATAGCAGGTTATTTGAATGAAGTTGAATTGTTGCAAGTGCATGAAGGTGGGACCATGCTTTGTGGTCCTGTTGAGAAAGGAAAAAGTAGTATATGAAAATCAGCCATTTGTTCTCCATTATAACCTTAACATTTTTTTTTCCTACTTAGGTTTTTGCCTTAATTAACATTTAGGAAATTTAAGTTGACCTCCAGGAGTTTTCATATATGGTTACTTTAAAATCTTTCTTAGTGATTGGAAATGTAATATACTTTTGGTAAAATATATTTGACTTTTCACAGGAAAGTGAAGGTGAAATTTTCTAAAAATGTACCAACAGTGAAATTTGATTTTTCACTAATAAAATCTTAATCAGTCTGTCCTGAAACATCTTTAATTGCATTGATATTTTAGTAGTAACCCATTTCCAATTAAAAAATGTCATCACTTCTAATAGGAAAAATAATTACATGCTACCATGATTGTATGTAATGAACTGCTGGGATCAAGATGGCGTCCTTCACATAACTGTGTGCAAATTCTTCTTTTCTCTACTGGAAGTAACAGGACGTAGAGAACTCTGACATTAGTCTGGCTGTATTTGATAATAAAAAATAAATGTGCCACTACAGGAAACAAAAAAAATATATTGCTTTTTCTACTTGATAGATCACATGCTTGAGAACATGTAAATCTCAGCAATTTAATCAAATGCAGTATCTGTTCACTGCAAGGAGGGCACTATTTTGCCACTTTTCTATTAAATGTTTTCAAGGTTGCCAGCTTTTATAAATTTTTCATAGAAACTGGTTTAACTAAAACAGTTCACAATTGTAGAATTTACGAAATTAGTTCATGTATTCATTTGATGATAAGCAGTTGTTTTGTAAGAAACTGATTATGCTCTCTGCTGGAAAAAAAAGAGTTTTAAAGAGTCTGGGGACTTTGCGATATATCAGGATATTTTAGAGTTATAGAAACATTGGAAAGCAAGTGCTATCGTTAGAAAAATTACTATTTTGTGTATTTTTGCTAAGAAGATAAGAAAAATTTAGTAATTCGTTTAGCTAAACTTCACAATAGAAGTCTGATGTATTTCTCCATGTTTGCTGTGGTTTTTACAGTGTTCCTTTGTTTTCTTTCTTCCTTCATGCACTTGGTATTCTATGCAAAATAACTTTGAAGAGTGATAGCTTCAGGGTACTCGAATTGATTAACGACAATAATAATAACAACTTACAGGTGGCTTCAATGTAGTCCAAAACTTCTGGGGTTTTGAGATTTCTGTACTCAGTTAAAAATACAAGAATCAGATTTGAAATTTAAGAAATACATTTTGGGCATTTGAGACTGCTGGGTCGTAACAGACTCTAAACTGAATAAACTGTGCATGTTCTGTAGCTCTGTCCTCAACTCTGCTGATGATGTTGCAATAATAATGATATATGGAAACTTACTATAATTTTTTGAATTTGCTGCTTGAACACTGAATAAACAACCAGCTTTCCCAGTTATGGGGGAAAAAAAAGGTTTACTCTGTCCATTCTTAGTTTAAAAACTGTCTCCAAATGATGTAACTGACTTGAATGTAAATTGTTCTGTGGGTTTTTTTTTCTTCAATCTCTGTTAATAAATGTCTACTTTCCTTCTTATGCCAGTGTTTAGAACCATATTATAAAATCAGATTTTAGGCACAAACACGTACTTTTTTTGTCTAGGTGAAAGTGTTCTGCAGTCTAATTCTGCTGAATTTATTTTATTATTGAATGTCTAGTAAATGTGAATATTTTTTCAACATTCTGTGTGGCTGTTCTTAAGAAAAGTAATAAGCAATTTGCATAACTCATGTCCAGAAGTGGACTCGGGTCGTGCTGTATTTTAAGACAGCACTCAGTAGCACTGTATTTTAAAATGGCATGTTAAGCTGTACTTGCTTTTGAAGCTGTTAACATTCTTACTCAATGTTTCTCAGTAATAATTTTTGAAGTTCTTATAAACTAGTGTATTTTACTGGATATCTTTGTTTTTCAACAGTGTGTGCTGTACCTATGGGTCCTGAAAATTCTCTACCCAAGCACGTTATTTCTTTTGAGAGGCAACCATGAATGCAGACACCTAACAGAGTATTTTACCTTTAAGCAAGAATGTAAGTACTGTCTTAAGAATGTAAAATTAGCTTACTTCCAACCTGCTGATCTATGGTCTGATATTTTGCTTGAGATGTGTTTGTCTGTTAGTTTAATTAAGGTCTTGCAGAGATTTGGAGGTCCCATTGACTTCTGTAAAATTGCTTGCAGTTAAGTATGGTGTTGGAATGCAAGATACGTAGAAGACTGCTGTCTCTAAAGATACATTATGGAGTAAATTTTGATGTATTGATCCTGATTTTAAAATCCTAGAGAGAGGAAGGTTAGTTTGCTGTCTTGGCTGTAATTGAGAGTGCAAAGTTAACTTGCTGAGCAACATTGTGAATCTAGCAAGAAAACCCTACTACCAAGTAATTTTTCCATATGGGGAATTGATTTCATCTATACTACTAAGATAACTCTTTTGGTGATGTAAACCCTCTTTGATATAGGTAAAAGTGGTGTAATCTATAAGCAGTTCTTAGGTTTTCACTGTAAATGAGAAATCGCAAACTTCTCAGTAGTATTTTACGCTGAAGTGTGCGGTATAATTGTATAATGCAAAATAATTCCATGATATTTTTTTTTAAAAACAAAAATAGTTTCTCTGCACTTGACATAACAATAAGAAATGAAAAAAGTTTATAGTTCTGGAAGAGAATATGTCTTAGAAATGCACTTGCTGTTGTGTTGTTTGGAAATGCTCATTTAAACCCCAAAATATTCATTGCTTTGGGGTTTTTTTAAAGCATTCATTTTGAGATTTGCTCTTACAATTATGATCCACTAGATTACTTTTTCCATCTAATATGGATTTCTTAATGTTTTATATTTTCTTTCTTGCAGGTAAAATAAAGTACTCAGAGAGAGTCTATGATGCTTGTATGGAAGCTTTCGATTGTCTCCCTCTGGCTGCTCTCTTAAATCAACAGTTTCTTTGTGTTCATGGTGGACTTTCACCAGAAATTAATACACTAGATGACATTAGGAGAGTGAGTATTTTGTGTATTTGAAAATAAGTGGAAATATAGATATTTACATGATGCTATACAAAGTCATCTTTGTGAAGTTGTCAGTATATTATTTTCTGTTCTTGTCTGTTTTGGAAGTGTAAATCAGGAACTGAAATGTAAGCTAAGCAGTATGATAATTAAGAACTCTTGGATTATCTAGTGCATTTGCGTTAGTAGATCTCATTGTGACAGCTGAGACTGTTACAAAATGCACACAAAAAAAACCCTTAAAAACTCCACATAGTTTCCTGAGACAGGTAGTACATGTAAAGGGCTTTATATCCAATCAAAATAATGCTTTATATTTCTTTCTAGATAAAAGCTACTGTTCTCATGGCTTTCAGGACAAAACTCATAGAAGTTAATTGTAGTCTTAAAATTGTTTGGTGTATCAAACATCATATTTCAGTTATTCTTATATGTCTTTAAAAACTGGGGTTTTTTTACTCTCAATCACGTGGATTTTGGTTTTGAAAGAGT